AGCTGGAAAGTAAGTGGGTCAAGGCACTGGGCTAGGGGTGGGGTCAACACTGTAACTAATGCTTAACTCCACAATAAGGGATTTATCTTTCACTGCTCCACAAATTGCTTGTCTGTCAGATACTCCTCTAAATCTGAACATTCAGATTAAGACAGACTAGGAAGAAGGATTGGCCACCCACTTCTGAAATAGCAGGCCTCTGAAAACCCTGTGCACACGTTGCTAGGAGGGACGGGTCCTTGGAGAGGGACATCATGCTTGGGAGGGTGGAGGGACAGCGCAGGAGGGGAAGACCCTCTATGAGATGAATTGATTCGGTGACTGGGGTAATCGGGATGGATGTGTCAGAGGCAGTGAGATTGGCACAGGATAGAGCAGGGTTTAGGGCTGTTGTGCATAGGGTCGCTATGAGTCGCAAACAACTTGACGGCACACAACAACAACAACATACAAAAACTAACTCAGATGTATCAAGGACCTAGGTAAATGATATAAACACTAAAATGATGAAAATCATCAAAGTAAAAATTAGAGCAGACTTAGGCACCCTACTCGTTAACTTAAATAGACTAGCAAAAATAACTGAGAATGTGCAATTATCAGAGGTAAACTAGGTGATTGAAACCTCCTAAAAATTAAATCCTTTTGTGTATCAAAAGACTTCTCCAAAAGAGAATCTACAGACTAGGGAGAAAAAGATTGGACAGTGGCCCATCCACCAGGGCCTCATCTCTAAAATTTAAAGATGACTCCCAGTACCTCATCAAGAAAAAGACAACTCTATTACAGAACGGACAGAGAATATGAAAAGATAATTCACCAAAGAAGTCGTTGTGGTGGCCAAAAAAGTTGAAGAAATGCTCGAGATCTTTAGCTGTTGTTGTTGTTTAATTAAATTAAATATGACTCATAGAGACCCTACGAACAACGAAACTGCACCCAATCCTATCCTGTGCCATCTTCATAATTTCTGATGTACTGAAGCCCATTGCAGCAGTCAGTCATTGTGTCAGTTGGTCAGGCTGAGAGTCTTCTTCTCTTTTGTCAACCCTTGCTTGTGAGATTTTACCCCAGCAACAATAGCAAAGTTCAGCAAGACAGCAGACAACTCTTTGTGGAGAGATTAGAACTCACATACACTGCTGGTGGGAATGTAAAATATTGCAAACTGTGGAAAGCCCTTTTGCTTTTTTAGGAAGTTAGGAAAAGAAATACCATAGGATCGAAGAATCCTACTATAAGGTATGTATCTGAAAGGAACAAGAACTTTGATACAAACTGGCATATGCACTCCTTTATGTATTGCAGTATTATTTATGATGGCAAAGAATTGGGAACAGTCCTTCAGTGGATAAATGACTAAAGAAATTGTGGTATCTTCACAGTGGAGTATTATGTATCGGATAACAGCAAAAGGAGGCGTCTTCCAGGTCAGACCCAGCAAAACCCAGCCAGAGAGGGAGGGCAGGAGGCGTCACTGGGCAAGGTCACCTCAGATAACAGCAAAAGGAGGCGTCTTCCAGGTCAGACCCAGCAAAACC